GAGTACTAAACAAAAGTTTTTTAGTTTTTACTTACTTGATTTTAAAAAATAAATAAATAAAATCTGACATCTGTACAATTGTTAACCTCACCTTTTACCAATTGATTTTAAATAATAATATAGTCGCCTTCTCCCAATTTAAAACCTAATTGGTTTAAATCACATTAAATATTTAAATTGGCCAATTACTGATTCCTACATTTTTTACTGGAATGATGTTAAACATGTTTTACGGGAAGCATCATAAACTTAAAAGAGGCATTGTTTCCTCCAAGTATTGATCCATGTTCAGAATTAAATTCATTTTATTAGTTATATTTATTCAAAAATAAACTATTATTATTAAAAGTATCCTGTATGAAAACTCCGACTATATAACATAAAAAAAGTCATAAACTAATTAAAATACTTCATTATCCATGGCAATTATTTTTATTTCGGCATAACTAATGCATACGAACTCATACAAATTCTTGATATGATGCGGAGGTTAGAATCTCATTTTCTCATCTTGTCGAAGTCATCATAGATATAATCTTGATTTTCTTGCATCAAAATAATGACTTAATTTAATTTATTTCCAAACAGGATGAAATAAACCGAATGCACCGCCGACATACTAACAAAATAAGTTATTCACTTGTAGTTGGCAGTATTCATATTAAAAGTTTTCCCGGGAGCTAAAACCCAGATCCAGCATAATATCGACAGGTACGTTTTCGTTTGCTTATTAGTTAATGGGTACGGAAAGTTTACCCATCCCTGGCCGCAAAAGTTCTACATAAAACTTAATTCAACTACATGTGGGTAGACAAGTTTTCTTTGAGAAGACATGTGACAAATCTGCCGCAAATCTGGAGAAATAAGCAAGCTTCATAATTGAATTTCTTGTGTTACGTAATTAACTTCAGTTCTAATGTCATTTAACTCACTTTTGCTATAGAAAACAAAACTCAAACCATGTCAATTGTTTTAATATAATAAGTAATTTAATTGCCCAGAAGTCTATTCAAAAACGTCTTAAATTCACCAAGGTGACAAACTGATTTTTATAGAGGAGTTAAAGAAATTAAAGAATCAAATCAAAATGTTTATAAGATGAGAAGATAAGAATGCATTTTAAAATTAACTTACCTATGGATTTCTTATTTTAAACCATGAATAAAGTTTTGCTTTAATACACGATGCAAGTTAATTTTTATATTATAAATTTTTGACACGATTGAAAAATTTGGGATCAATCTGTCAACAAGTTTTTATTTTTAAAGACTCTTGTCGAGCAACTTTTGCATTTTATTTTAATGAGGTTCGGGGAAAGGGGTAAGGGGAAAGGGGTAAGGGGAGTTTATTTTATACTTTATGCACAAATAGCGATAGGTACCAACTCGCAAAAATAAAAAAAATCATTTTAGACATTTGATTTAAAAAACAGCCAATTTTTTAACTTATTTTTAAATCCTATAGGAAAATGAGTTGTGAAAACATGCAGCGAAAGTCTCGAAGAAAACAGAAAACAAAGTTAAGAAAACCATAAAAAGGTATAAGGATTATCTACATAATTATTTTAACAAAAAACTGTTTGTTTTAATAATTTACTTTAAAAACAAAATTGGGGTAGTCACCAAATAAATCAAACCAAATATCCCTAGATAATCACGTGTTCGTAATCCAGTGTTGCCGTTTCTTCTACAATGAAAAAAATAATCTCTTAAAGGAAATGAAAATCAAAAAACGATTTGCTCTTTCTTAATCTAAATCAGAAACTATCTTTACATATTTTTTTCTAAATTACTTGAGGGGAGAGATTAATCTATTCGTTTAAGGATATTACAATATTAGCTTAAATCAAGAGGTACTTGGTACAAGAACCAAAAATATTTCTTCGGAAGATATTTCTCTTTTGAATAAAGAAAACGAAAAGGGGAATTGAACAAGAAAACCGCATCTCTTAATTGAAAAGCCTAGGAACTTTCTAAGAAAGAAAATTTGTCTTGCTACAAAAGCATATACTATTGAACTAACTACATTTTATTTGGATTTAAGAGAAAATATGTCTTGGTCCAATAGTATATTGCTTTATTCAAAAGCTTCTGATCTTCACTGAAACTACCAGTATTTAAGCTTAAATTCCCCCAACCCCCTTTTGATTTTAATTATTAAAACATTAAAAAATAAAACTTAAAATATGTTATAATCCTACTAAATATATGTTAGTTAAATTAACGATCGCAAAATAATTTCACAATAAAAATAATTTTAAGTATGTGAAAGGTATGTAAGAGAAGTGTATATTGTATTTTATTGTCCACAATGGTTTAATATTGTTCTAACAATAATCTAATTTTGCCGTAACCTTATTATTCACTCGTATAAGTGCCTTCAAAATAGACTTTGTATTACGTTTATGCATTAAAATAAACTGTTCGGTCAAACTATAAAGTACATACATTTAACTTTTAATGATATTAAGGTGACAAAAGTTTGTTTAATAAAAACTTTTTATATAAAAGCAGTTTAAATGTATTTAAAATAAATAAATATGTATGCTTTATGGCCTTTTAGTCACTGGCTAAAGTTAATTTATTGTCTCAATACAAAAATACGAAAGCAATTAATGGTTTCTCAACGCCAATATTTGAAAAGTTTATATGAATATTATGATTAAAATTTAATTTCGCCGGCAGTAAACTAGGGCTTGGACTCCACCGTAAAGTGCTCAAAAAACATTTTTTTCACTTTCACTGTGAATATTATTCACTGAATAACTGTTGTTAATCCATTTTCAAGGGATACATTTCGATTTATAACACATACAAATTTGACATTTGACGGTAACACAGATTCCCCTATTGTTTTATAGATGTCGCTCTATATAAATATTTCATTTAAATCATTTTTAGATAATAATTATTATAATAAGTATTTGTCGTGGAAAATATAAACTTTTCTAAACACTCATCAATCACTCGCTCGCAAGCTCGCGCGTTCCTAAATTAAATTCGTTTCTAAAATGGCGTTTATCAAACTTGATACATAATATATTATATTCTACTCCCACCTTTAAAACACCCATTATCATACATGTTAACATGATACTAAGCGATCTTTTAAATATACATTGACAAGTTGTGTCTATGGCGTTTTAGTCACAGCTAAAGTTAGCAACAGGATTGTATTCAAGGGCTGAAGTAAGTTGGTTGACAGTTGTCAAATGGCATACAATCGGTAAAATAAAGTGCCTATCTTGTGAAAAAATAATGAGGAAATTGTTTTATTATGTTACTACAAAAATAAAAGAGTATTAAATAGTTTCTTAATGCCAATACTTTTTTGAAAAATTTATATGCAATTTTGTACTGACCTTTTGATTTTGCCGGCAGTAAACTAGATTTTACTAACCCACCATAAAAATGTCGAGTGGAGACACCGTGAAGTGACCATAAAACATTCTATTCACTTTCACTGTGAACAACTGATCCTATATCAGATTTAAACGGTTTTTAGTCCATTTTTAAGGGATAAATTACGATTTACAAACAAAAATTAGACATTTTGACCGGCGCGCCGGTAATATAGATCCCCAAGTTAGAAATACAATCGAGTTACTTTATTTTTTATAGATATCGCTCTACATAAATATTTAATTTAAATCATTTTTAGATAATAATAAGTATTTGTCGTAGAAAAGGTTTATTATCCGTTTATAAACTCATTTATATGCAAGCTTGCTCGTAACTAAAATGGCGTTTATCAAACTTGATACAATATTGTTATCTAGGGGTTCTATAATTTAATATTTTTTATTGTCAACGCTCCCTACCAAAGTATTTGATTATATCCTAGGCTAAAAAAATAATTTAGACCAGGTGACTATGTAACCACTATCGTTTAACAAATAAAACTGCATTTTTTGTGCTTCGCCTAGTTCAGCACAAAAAAAATAACTTCTCAGATTTATACATATATAACTATTATAAAAAAATCTAAAATGGTTGCAAAATAAAATAAAATACCGGTTTTTATAAGCACCTAAATAAATACGTTTTTACTGTATAGAAAATTTACTAATGGGTCTTCATCAGCATAAAAAATGCTTATTTAAGAATGTTAAATGTTATAATGTTATAATGTTATATTAAATCCCAATCCCTCAGAGCTTTTTTTGTATTTTTAATTTTGATGGGCTGTTAAAATATTCTACTGGGATATTTTTAGCATAATTTGATACAATTTGGTTTTTTTATCGACTTTATTAAAACATTATCTTTTTTAAGAGTGGGCTACTATTTATTAGGTCCTGATTATTGGCTCAAAATTAGTAATTTCCTAGATTATCCCGTTGCTAAAATAATCCAAGAAAGATTTCACGATTTTCCAATTTCTTCGAACTTTTTTGTTATTTAATTTTTTAACACTGTTTCTGCCATTTACTTAAATTTGCCCATCTGTACAATGCTGATTTTTTTACTGTCTACTTTAATATGTTTATTCTAAAAAATACAAACAGTTACAACAATTTTGTTGTAACTTCTCTATCGATTTTATTATTTTGTTTGTTTAACAAATTATCTGTCATTTTAATTGGTAATCATAAAACAGTGCTACGGCGAAAACGCTATTTTGTGATTAAATCTAACTACAAAAGTAATGATTGTGTGGTCGCAGCACAGCGGCAATTTCGAATTAATTTCAACATTACTCGTAACGGGATAGTTTCATCTGCCCTTGCTATAAAGGAGTGGGTTCGTATATTTAAAGAAACCGAATCAGCTAAAGATGTCAAATATAAGGGACCAAACGAAAGTGTCAGAAGTCTTGATCGCGTTAGAGCATCTGTAGAGCCCAAAACGTTCAAGTCGAAAACAATGTCAGACCTTGGGCTTATCTAGAACTACTTTCAAATTTTACACAATGATCTCAATTTCCATTCTTACAAAATCCAGATTGTCCAAGCATTGAAACCAACAGCTGTTGCAGCTTAAAATGTTCACAATTTATATATGTCTGATATAAAGCACATTTCCATTTATCTGGCTATACCAGTAAACAAAACAGCCCTTATAGTGCTTTTAAAAATCCACAAGAACTTCATTAACAACCTTACACAGCCCCAAGGTAACAATGGGAATTATAGTTTTTTGAGGATCACAATGAAAATGCTTTAAAAGGGAATGCTCCACGCTATACTGACTGATTAACCAGTTCCTTACACAGCAACTAAACATGTTTTCACAGAACAATAGCTAGTTCCATCAAGATGGCGCTACTTCACATACCGCATGAGCATCGATGGATTCAGTGCGAACTGCCACTATTTTTAGGGGTATATCTTAAAAGCAAGGCTTTCATTGGCAAACCACGAGATATTCTGGAGCTAAAAACAAAAATTTAGAAAGAAATTGCTAATATTTCTTTGGACATTTTGCGTCGTGTTATGCAGAATTTTAAAGTTCGACTTCAGAGGGAAGAGGAGGCCATTTATAAGGCATACTTTTTAAGAAATAAAAATGATCCACAATAATCTTGTTGTTCTTATACTTTGCTTTAATACAGTTACTTTCTCAAAAACGCCGTTTTCAAAACTTCCCCCTTCCATGTCATCTTTGTATTTATCTGGACATTAAGGTCTATACATGTTATAACGTACATTTTTTTCTTCATTTTTGAAAAGAAACTTTTTTCAATTTGACAGCTTGCAAAAATTTACCAAGTGTTTTTAGATTCTCATGGCACCATTTAAGTTTGTTAACTTTGGAAATAGTCAGTTAAACTAAAATTAAAAATTTGACACCACCAGCACTTATTTTCACAATTTTCTTTTGATGCTTTTGGGAAAAAATATGCATCTACATATAGTAGTAGGAGCTTCTAAACAATTAATCCAATAATATACCGATTATTATCGGCGCAATAAAACATCAATCTTAAGTTTTTTTTGACAAAATGTTTGTAACTATTTTTATTTTAAATTAAAGTAGAAAGTACACTGTTCAAAATTTCATGACCATTTTAACACCAAATTAACACCATACGTGGTCTATATCGATACAAACCAAAATGGTGTTAAATATGGTCCGTTGGCCGGTGTAAATTCAAATACTAAAATAGTGTTAATTTAACTTTCACACAGTATTAAAATTAATTTTACCTGGTGTAAATTGAACTCCTTTTCAGTGTTAAATATTATGTGTTTTTGGTCAAATTAAATCATACTACACAGAAAAAAAGGAAAAGAAAAGGAAACAGGAAGTTCCTTGACGCATTACTATAATATTACCAGTGGTATTATTCCAGAAAATTGAACCTTCAACTCGCTAGAGATAATGTTTTTAGTGCGTTCCACCAACTTAAAATACTTCAAGTATTGAGAGCTGTTTCCACCTATTTAAGGTCTCTTTAGTATCGAACAACTTGTAGTGTCACTCCAAAGCAAAGGACTACCTGAGCTTATATACTCTTCATGTAATTCAGCAGAGGCGAGATTTAAGAACATCACGTGATCCACACCGCCTTTGCCGCGATCGGTACACACTATGCAACCGGGAATGCACGTCAAATTGTTTTAATCGTTTTAACAGAGTGCTTTAGGTTGAAGTAACTCTTGTTTTACAAACAACATATTTAGTAAACTGAACCATACAGCGGGTTGGTTTCACTAAAGTTTTCTGGGTTAATTTAACCAATTTAAAAAAAATAAAAGAACTATCTGGTTTAGTACCGTCAAACTAATCTTTGTTTATATTAACCTTCCCACAGTTGATAAAAATAAAAAAAATAAAAATAAATACTAATGGGTCAACTAAATTAATATAGTTACATGAACTATTCCTTTTTTTCTGTTTAGGAGCACTTCACAAATATTTTTAGATATACACCGTTTTGGTGTTTGCTGTTAATAACATTTTCAACCATAATTCATGGTGTTATATTAACACCACTTGGTGTTGGATTTTGACACCATTTTAAGATTACTCTTTACACCACAGATATTTTAAACATGTAGAACTATTGGTATAAAATTTGAAAAAGCAATTGAAAAGACACTAACATAAATAGTGGCTGGAATGATAGAGTAATAAGAACAGCTAAAGTTAAAATTAAACAACGACTTCAATTGCTACATGCTAATAAATTACCCCTACGTTACCTGCTTCAACACTTAGAATCTAACCCATCTGGTCCTTATATTTGTCCATATAATTCAATCCAAAAATTGTTTTGTAAAATGTATCATCAAAATGATTTATTTTTTATTTTCCTTCCTAATAAAATTGTTTTGCATATAGACTACTCACACGTTGGTGAAAGCAACACAAACACACACACACACACTTTAATCTTGATTTATTGTGGATAACTGAGATTTGCTTTTTCAAGAAATTTACCAAATGGCATGCAGACAGATACATTACAAAGATTTATTGTTCTGAAATTCTTACGCGTATTTTTTCAGTTCCACACACCGTATCACTAAAAACAGGTTGGCACTTTGTAGGTGCGAGTGTCAGCATTAAATGCTGGATGAAAAAAATGATGCACGTTTTAGTAAAAATGCTGTATTTTATAGAATATAATATACATATATATATATATATATATATATATATATATATATATATATATATATATATATATAATATAAACTTTGAAGTAGGCATATTGAATGACGGTAATATAACTAAAAGCATTTTCGCATGGCAGGTTATATTGATAAATATATATAATATATAAAATATTGTTGTTTTAGGAAAATATTTTTAAAATACACCCATCAAACTCGAAGACTTGTTTTTTATCCCTTAGCTTGATCCATGTTTTGCGTTTTTAGTATTTATCCAAATAAAATTCGACTCAATATAACCTGCCATGGGAAAAGGCTTTTAGTTATATTACCGTCTTATATTGAATAATATGCCTACTTCAAAGTTTAATGTTACGGTTTTTCAACTATGAAAACTGTTTAAAAGAAAGTTTATAGTGTTATTTTGTTTTTAATTTTCATAAAGTAAATAACCAATTCAAAAACAAATGAAAAAATGTGCTTTTAATTTAGTTTTTGTTCTTTAACTCGTTTATATGACGATATAGATTTTTAAACAATAGAAATGCAATGAGGAATGCAATACACGGCTATATTAACCAATAGAATGCGATATACGGCAATAGTCGGTCAATATCAACTATTGCCTTGGACATCTTGGAGATCTAATATTTATCAGTTTTGACAAGTAATTGTTTTATTTATTGTTTTATTAAAGTTAGTTTTCTACTTTTTTATAGTAGTAGTGTAGACATGCATTAAAAGTTCAATTAAAATTTTTAAAAATGTTGTAAATTTTAGAAACTTTTAAAATTACCTTACCGTAAGCCATATATTTCCACCTTAAGAGAAAATAGTTAATTTAAACGTGAATTTTTGTATTTAAATCACAGGTAAATGTATTTACCCTTTAATATTTTTAAAACAATTTTATTACTTTAATTTTTACTCACTCTCCACTTTTTAAGATCTTGAATTTTTACATCATAAATATTAATATTAATTTATATCTACAGCCGTTAAAGTAAAAATCTGTATTTAGTATATTTTGTTTTATATTCCATTTAAAACTATTTGATGCCCCCACTCTCTAAAAATGAATAAGTCAAAATTACTACAGTGTTTAGTGGCTGCTTTTTCACTTATACCATAGTTAACCATAGGATACCATGGTATCCCAAAATTTAACAGCAAATTCTTATGTAAAATTGTCCCCTGAATCCGAAAATACCTTAAAAAATTATGAAAGTAGAGCAGTTTTTGAGATATAGTCAATTCCATATTATATGGAAAACTGACTATAGTCATATATATCTTAAAAACTGTTCTACTTTTTTAACTTTTGACGACATTTTCGGATTCAGGGGACAATTTTACATGAAAATTGACTGATAAATGTTTGGGATACAAATTACAAATTTGGATATTTTAGAAATTTTAATTTTTTTTTTGAAATTTGGTTGTTCCTACCATTTTTAAAATTTATGACACTGTGCAAATTTCAGGTCTGTCACTTGTCAAGCTTGTCAAGCTGTTGTCATAACCAATGTGTCAATATTACAAAAATTAATTTTATTTGTCAATAAATATTGTTCATAATATTTTAAAGTTGAATATATTATTTGTGTTGCTGTTTTGAGCAAAACTTTTTGCATCTTTGTTTGTTTTATGGGCCATTTAACCATGGAGCCTATATGCGTTTAATTAAATTTTAATTCCAATAATACTTTGTTATTGGCCGCAAACGATTAAAGAAATTAGATACTTTTAACTCTTAGAAAAAGTCAAGATGGTGAATAATCTTAAATTAGTCAAACTTTAACAATTTACATAGTGAAAAATAACTATTAATAGTGAAAACGACTATTTTATTTGTAAAAAATAATGGTACTAATTCAAATAGTGGAATTTTGACTATTGAGCGAATGTACTATTTTTTATGCATTTAAGGGCAGTTTTGTTAGAATTAGAATTTTAATGTGCAGTTTTCAATTTCCTGGTTTTAAATAAATTAAATGCTTACCTATAGGTTTAAGTTGTCCAATTTGGTCGTAAGCGTTTAAAAGCGTTTCATATTTTTGGTCTTTTTTTTACTCCTTTTAGTCTTAGTCAAAAATCTGTAGATGAAGCTGCGTTGTATTGGACTCTTTAACGACCCCCAGACTTCTTTTTCATCCGTTTGTATCGCCACAATTGGCAACGTCGCGACGTGTCCTGTCAAAAATGCCAAAAACTGATATATTTGGTGGAAAACGTCAGTTTTTGGCGTCATTGGCACGACGTTCCGAATTGTGACGATACAAACGGATGAAGAAAAAAAACCGACGTCTTTGGGTACCTTTATTCAACAATTCAAGCAAATAACTGTGTTGTTATTTTTCCCATATTATTATGCTCACGCATTATGCTTATCACCAAAAAGTACCAATTAAATTAAAAAGCTCTTTTTATGGTTTTATTTATGTAATAATGTTACATTAAGACAATGTTGCCTTTTCATTTTATTTGTTGGTGTAAATTATGATCGTGTGTATTCAGCCAACCTTGCATAATATTATCAGAATTTGTAATTTAATATTGTTTGTCCACAAGAAGTAAAAAATTTACCCGGTACAAGGTTCTAAATTATCCCTTGCAAACATAATAAGGATTGTCGCTACCGATCGACTGGTCAATGAATTGATTGGTACACCTGAACGCCAATTCCTTTTGCTACATGTTTCATAGAATAAATATTTACCAATCAATTTTGCCGTTTCAGTGGCGGCGGAAACAGAAGTCCGGGCCTACGTCGACGAGACGGTCAGCCTGGGCTGCAAAGTGGACGTGAAACAATGTGGAACCCTGCACAGCGTCAAGTGGTATAAGGACACTTCGAGGATATACGTATACAGCCAGGCGGGCAGCATCACGAGGGCTGAGGGAGATGCGGAAGACAGGTAAGTTTGTTAGATTTGATTCGATTTTTGCGAAATACGTATTAAATTGCTCCGGGACTATCGAAAGCCTGTCTGCCTGACAGTCATACGCGTTCCCAAATGAAAAATCTTGCACCGTGATTTTTTCACTATGGTTTAAAATTTAACTAGTGATCTAGGGAATTTGACTAAAAAATGGAAGAGATTGGTGCTAATAACTAACTTCACACTTGTTTGTGACGCAAATAGATTTTGACAATTAGAGAAGGAAATTAACAATAAAAAGGATGAAAATGAAATGACTCTTTCGGATTTAAAAATTTTACAAAAAAAAAAGAAAAACATAAACAAGAAGTGACTATTTATTTTATTTTAATTTTAAATAAGTTTAAATTAAATAAATATTATTCACATTAAATTTTATAAATTCGCAAAATAATCTTGTATTAATTAATTTTGAAACATAATGCGATCTTGTGGATTAGTAACAACAGGGTACTCCAGTTCATGGCATTAATATTAGCAGCCAATGGCGGCTCTGGTTTATTCATGTCTCTAGCAATATTATGTAGTACAGCTGCAGCTGGAATAATGTACAAAACTGTATCTAGGGTTAATCTTAAGCCATATGCCAACACTGGAAACCTTCTTTTCCAAATTCCAAATACTCTTTGTATTATATTTCTGGTTCTTAGTAGTGACCTCTATACCTATAACTGTAGTTATTGGATTTGCTAAAGATGTTAATAAATAATATCTTTGGAAAAAAGATCTTGAATACCGATGACTAGTACTTTTGAGGTTATAAATCGTTAACGGGGGATTAAAGTAATTTAAACCCCCGAAATTGGGGGTTTATTTTAATAGTAGTTTAGAGGTATTTAAACAAGGATTTATTAACGGTGCAAGCCAGTTATGAAAAATAAACCTGTGTTAAAAATTAAACCACTGTTAAACTTACGGTGCATACAATATAATTTTTTGAACTGACTGAAAGTCTTACTTAATCCTAATAACAAGGTACATTTAAGGCCTGTCAGAGCAAAATGGACAATCTCCACTTTTGGTAAAAAATTTAGATAGATTTTTGAAAGAGACTACTTCAAATAATTATCTACAAGATAAAAAAGTCTATGTGCTGCAAAAGGAGCTAAATCCTGCCTAAAATCCTGTTTTAAAAATGACATTTAGTGCAAAGTCGATAATCTCCACTGATAGATTTGCAGCAAAGTATACAATATCCAATTCCACCATTAGAAGTTAGTAATTTGTGTCACCTGACATTTGACGTTATTTTAGAGCTTTAATTTTGTGTGTTTTGTTACTGGTACTATTAAGTTCTATTGCAGTAAATTGCACTTAAAAAATATATTTAAAATAGGTATACCTACGTTTTATTGTTTTAAGAATTACAAAAAAGTTATCTTGCTCATTTGGTGCTATTATACCAAAACAAGACATAAAGGTAAAGCAAGAAAAGGCTGATAATGTCAAAACTTTGCTAGTAAAACATTACGGGGAAGAAGATGATGCTGTACTAAAAAACTTTTTTGCACAAGGCAACCTGGTCCCAGATTTGGAAGAATCTCCAGATTTTTCTCTCCAGAGTTTTCCCTCATTGATTGTATAGTTAAATTTTATAACCACTAAAGGAATAAATTATTTTTTTGTTTATTTTTGGAACTAAAGTGAAAATCTCCTTAAACTTTTACAACAAAATGAGCAATCTCCAGCAATTCATATCAAAGTGAGCAATCTCCAATTAATAATTATAGATTTTACTTATACTATGCATCCTGGAGACCTTGTAGTTGGGCTACTAGACTAACAACAACAATATTTCAATATAATATATAAAAAAATACAAATCTAGAATTTAAAATACGAAAATCAATTATCTAAATTTACTCAGTTTTAGTCTGAAGGGAGATTGTTGACTTTGCTCTGACAGGCCTCATTTATACTAACAATGTTTACATCTTTTTAAACTTAAACAAATATTATTTGTACCCAGAAAGTTTGTTGACCATTGTTATAAAATAAAGTACAGTAAGTGAAATGATATAAAAACCCGATCCAATATTAAAATAAGTCTATAGTATAGACTCCATACCCATGATATAAATAAGAAGGTGTAATCATGAGAGAGTGAGGGATAAGTGCTTTTTCTCTCTCTCTCTCTTTCTATCTCTTTCTCATTTCCATCACTTTATTTTAAATTTTGTCCTGACATATGACTTAGTATTGAGGTTAGGTATTATGTTATATATATATTCTCTAATCATATTCAAAATATTTGTCTTTCGTCCACAAAAATATTGGGATTTATAATTAGAAACTCCAAAAATATAACAAACATTGATTGCCTTAAGGTGCTGTATTCTTCATTTGTTCGTTCAAGGCTGGAATATTGCTCGATAATTTGGTATCCTACACGGAAAAAAATCTATACTGATTCCAAGAAAATTCAACTCTATCCAAGTATAGCTTAGTTTCCCTATTCCGCAAGTAAATTTATACTTGTTTCAAGTATCCTCATATTCTTATAAAATAAAGATAGCTTCGGTTTAATCTAAGATTACTGCTATACTAAAAATAAGAAACACACTAATTTTGAGCTAAGTATACAAATTTGTCTTTAATGAAGACTACGGTATTCTTGTTGTAACGTTAGTATGTACTTCATCAAAGTATAGTTTCTTTGTAAAATCTTTACAGTATTCTTGTTTTAAGAATATACTTTCTTTAAAATTTATTTATTTATACTTATTGTAAGTACACGCTTTACTTGCATAAAATGCTTGTATTCTTACTTTTCCTTTTTTTATATTTGATAAAAGTATAGTATATATATATTTAAAATAACTCTATACTATTCTTAAAGAAAGTGGTTGATTAGAAAAAAAATTCCCTCGTCTAGCGACTCGGAATAATTTTTACAAAAAAAACATTCGTGAACCTGAAAAATATTTGTATTAATTATCCTACCACTACGGAAAATACAAGTGAAAGTGAAAATATAATCGTTATGACAGTAATTTAACAGTATTTTTGGCATATTATTTTAATGTACTAAAGTACTAAGTATAATAGGCACTGATATCACAATAGGTTTATTACAGTCTTAGAGGTGTTAGAAAAAGTACTGTCGATTTATTTAAATTCATTCTTTCATGGTTAATTAACATAGATACTATATTTTACATTTTATTTTTTTAAGTACCTAGGTATCACATTTTTGGTGCTATATGTAAAGGTAAGGTTTTTAATCACAATAGTTATTATTTTTTTAAGTAGGTATTTATCTCCAGCTAAATAATTTGTAAAATGAGTCTCTAAGAAGGCTACCATTATCATCGTAGATGGTTTGGTGTTAATTCTTCAGTTTTTTGTCTACACTTGATCCTCAATCCTATTTTTGGAATTAATTCCTTTAAATTCTTCTCGCTTAGGTTTACCGTAATATCGAGATCTATCACGTTTTCTAAAACAAAAATAATATAGCTGAATTGGAGGCTATAGCCTTTCTGCTGTTTATGTGCTATTGTCTATTACCTGTCGTATGCTATCCATTTTACACTACAGTTTACCTATCCATTTTACACTACATTTTTACGATCATGCCTAGTTAATTACTTTAAATTAATGAAATGTTATTTACTTACCCAAAAATGTGTCTAGTAAACATTCTAAGCCCCAATTTTAAAGTTTCTTCTCCATTATTTGTTATTAAAAATAACATCCAGACCGAAAAAGGAAAAAACGAACTGCCGGCGCCGACACGTACACACGCTACCACCATAGAACACAGGACAGAACTGAACACAGAATCTGCGTCTTTTCTTTTAGCGAAGCGGTCTTAGAGGGTGGACGGTATTTACTTAAGCGAAGAATTAGGTATTTGTATTCTTTGTTCTAGAGGTCTTATACTTAAATTGAAGTATAAGCATTCTTGTATTAAATATACATATATTTAAATAAAGTATACCGAAATTTCATACAAATATACAGAATACTTAAAATAAGTGGCAATATTCCGCTTTGAGTAAAAAACTAGAGCTCTTTCATCCAAGCTTTATTGTATATTTGATTTAAGTATACCAATTTTCTTTAAAATAAAATACCTTTAAACTCAATCCAAGAATACTCATCTCAAATCAAGTAACAGTTTTTCTTAAAAATTAAGTATATCCCATTACTTAGTTTAAATGTAAGCTAATCTGATAGAAATAATAAATATACTTAAATCAAGTTCCTAACATGAAGTATAGAACTATTCTTAAACCTAGTAAGGGATTTTTTTCCGTGTATATACAATATCTACAACAAGCAATTGAAATCAATTAATAGAAAATTTCTAAAATATCTTAATTATAAAATAACTGGTATCTATCCACCTCAGCGTTATAGTCATGAAACACTGCTTGACAAATATGATTTCTTATCATTAGAAACTAGAAGAGTCAATACTTCGTTATCTTTTCTTTATAATTTATTACATAATAATATCGACTGTGATATTTTATTGAGTAGAATTAATTTTTATGTCCCAAGACAGGGTACCCGTTCCTGTCCAACTTTTTATTGCTGTAGATGTCGTACTAATATTCTTAAAAAATCTCCTATTTATATTATGTGTAGAAATTTTAACATGTTAAATGGTTCTCCTGATATTAATTATTCCTTAATAAATAATATTGTGAATAAAATCAATCTTTAATTTTGTCAAATAGGTTATATTTATTATATTTACTATATTTTATTATATATTTTATATGTGTTGCACTTTGTTAATTGTCCTGTAATTGGATATTTGTACTGTTGGACAATAAAGTATTATTATTATTATATTAAAAACCAAGAATTTTCTAAACGTAAATCTATATTATAAAATTATTATATTTTTAATATTATCGAGGTTTTGGTAAATAATACCATGTTTAGGTAATTTAAGTTTATTTAATGCATCACCCCCAAAGAAGCTTATTTTTAAAACATGTAACCTGAGTATTTAAAATAAG